GAGAAGGTACTATTCCGATCGGATGTCTAATGGTCTGAAACGAATCACACAAAAAAGATTCTACGGTTTTAGATAGTTAAACCTGAACTTCTTTTAATGATGATAGCGAAGCAACAAAATGACTGAACATATTGCTAATAATTGCCATCGAACTAGTACCGTAGCGTCCAATAAAAAACGCGTCAAAATCATCAGAAAACAAGGTTAAAAAAAGGATGAAGACAAAAATTGCATGAATATGCATAAAATTTAGAAAAAAAGTGTATTGAGAACATAAATATTTACACCAATTCAACCGTAAGAACGGCGGATACCACTAAACTATTAAGGAACGTTGAACCTAATTATAATGTCAGACTAAGCATAGTTAAGTTTTCCACTTAGTCACTCTTAAGCCCAAAATTAATCACAGCCAAAAAGCTCAAAACTTAAAATGGCACTCAGTTCATTAAAAAAAGTTTCAAAGACAAAAATTCATATCAAATGTAGAAAAACAATTAATTCTGCTAGCATAAAACTGCACATGTCAACAAATGAAAGACAAAGAACAAATGCTCATTTGAACTATACACCGCAGGCAGTAGCGGATTTAGGGGGGCGGATGCCCCCCCCCCCCTCTCAGGGATTCGACCTCCTGCCGACCCAAAGAGTCCCTCCTTTGTACTACTTTGAGATATCCATTTTTTGCTGACTGACCTTAAAATTTTTCTATAGGCGTTTTTGGCGCCAATCTATACTAATTTTGAGGGGAGAGCGCGCGCCGAAAAAACGCGATTTTACGGTCAAAATTTTCCAAAAAGTGCGTAAATTTTGAAAATCTGCCCTCACTTTTTCCTAAATCCGCGCCTGACCCAGGTACGCAAGTTCACAGGTACCATTAAAAAAACAGAAGTCAAAACAACTTTCGCTGAATAGAGCTAACTGTTTTACCAACCAGCTTTCGAAAAGTCGTCAATACAAGGCTTACAACAAATTGTCGAACATCAAAGCAAATCTAAACAACTCAGTCTTTATAACAAAAGGATCAAAAGACAGCAGTAGGATAATACTTTAAAAAACTTCACCAAAATTTCGTTAAAAAGTTGCACAGGTACAAAAATTTATTTTGAAAGAGACAAAGAATTCAAAAACCTTCTATTTCAAAAAATTTAGGGAACTTTAAAAATTTAAAAAAAACAGAGAAGTCAACAGCAAAATGATAAGACTAATCAAATTACATGTAATTTATTATTCCTCAGCAAGGCAAAGCTGGCAAAAACCGAAACCAAAACATTTCTTTTGCTCCAAAATTTTTCGTGCGAACACAACTCGTTTTCGCACATTCACTGATCTCTCGCACAGGAGCAAACGAGGTCTTATTTACTTTTGTCTCGTTTTTTTTTGTATCATTTGAATTTGAAATAAGAAGATTGTAAAAACACAGTATAGAAAACACAATTATACTAACTATTTCTCAGTTTTTAACAAGTAAACTTTCTCTTAGGTGCAATTATCAGCAAAAATATGAGAAATTTGACACATCCTCTCAGCAACAATTTTTTTTTCTTGTCTTTTTCTCGCCTTCAGTTTTTTTTTTCAAAGTTTTCTTAAAAAAATTACACCTGGCGCATGATGTTAATTCACTTTTTTCTGAGAAACTAAAAAATTTTTGTTCTCGAGTGTAGTTGCGATTTTCTGCAATTAAACCCAAAAGTAAAAAACTGTTCCAAGTTACAAATTTTAGCAACCGGAAAGAAAAATGTCTGAGCCAGATAAAGAGCCAAAGCTACAATTTTCAGCAAACACTGTTCAAAAAAAATGAATTAAATGAGTTGTCATAAAAGAAAAAAATTGACAATATAAGAAAAAGTTATAACTTGATTCAGATTCGCGGTATTATGTTTATCAAATAACACTGAAAAAGTATAAAAAAAAATAAAACTTAAAAAAAACAGTATCGTTTGAATTTATGAGCCGATAATGTCAAAAATAATAACGTAGAATTACATCGGCCATAATAGTCAGTTATTTCAATGAAAACAATTAACAGCAAAGTTGTTTTATTTATTAAAATTAAAAAACTTACTTTGGACCAAATGCCATTCATGACTACTTTATGCAAAACAGGGGAGAACTTTTTATCAAAGTATGGTCTATAAAAAGCCTCAATCGAAGAAGTTTATTTATCTTGCTCGAACACAAGCTTTTCAGTTTGGGTTGAAAATGTAGTCTGGACAAGCAGACAGTATGTGGGGACATGATTGTTGATGTATCTAAATCGATACGTGACCGTCTCAATCTTGAAAAAAGTCTGCTTTTACTTGAGTAAAGTTTATTGAAAAAAGGAAGAACTCAAATAACGAAAAGAAGCCAGTCAATCTTTGATGCAATTTTTATCAAACATTATTCGATAGCCAATGTGCAATACAATTCTGCATCAGATCACGAGTCAATAGATATTGAAGTACAATTTTTACTGGAAGTCAGAATTTTTTTCGATCGTGTTTTTTGGAATAATTGAAACGTTTTGGATAACCATCAGATTTTGCGGAAGTTCAGATTTGCCCTGTGGTAGACCGATGAAAACAAGAAATTGGAAAACGACTTTAAAGCTTTAAGTGATTGCTTTTTGCAGCTCTTAAAAACTATTCAAACTTGTTGTGAAAAGTTCCCTCCTTACGATCTCATTGATGAAATTAGGAAAAAGTGAATAAAAGATTAAAATATAATCAGGTTGATAAATTGAGTGAATTATTTAAAAAAAACATTGATGAACAAGAGTGATGATGATCTGAAAAAAATCCAGGAACAAAGAACAAAGAGAACGAAATTGATAAACAATTGTTTTTTAATAAGAGAAGACAAAAAAGCAAGAGCCATAAAATTGTATGAAGAAGATCGAAAATTCGTAAAAGAGCTTTTGCTACCCTAGGAGAAATAGAAAAATGGAAAAGTTCAGCATTCCAAGTGAAGGAAAATTTTGTGCTTGGTTTCTTAAATTGGACAGAAGTCGTAAGTAAAAACAACACTACAAATTTTTAAAATGTCAAAAATAAAAGTAGATTGTTTTTGAAATAATTTTTTTCTGAGAACTTTATGAAAAAAAGAACACGAACAAAAAAAAACATGGTTGTTACAAATAAAATCATAATAACCTAATCGAAAATTTTGTTCAGGTTATATCGAAAAATTTATATTGTTACAACCAAAACAATAACATAATCGAAAAGTTTGTTCAGATTTTATCGAGGTAATAGAGAAAAAAACTTCCCATAAACAAGGATAAAACAGTCACCCTAGAACCTAATAGGAATTTTTTTGACAATAGAGGATATAATTGAAGAAGTTTGAAATTTGTTGTAATAGTTGATGAAAAAGTGATATAATTTCCAGAAAGGCAGCTAAATCTTGCTTGATGATCTATCAATTCAAATAATGTTTAGGAAATAAAAAAAAGTATAATCAAAAATGTATATCATTATAGTGTACTAATCTATGGAACAGCTAATAAGAAGGACATAAAAAATAGAAAGCCAGCAAAGACTTCCATGGATGAATTGTTTTAAAAAAAGTTGCAAAATTGAAACATAATTGGGACAAACATAAATTCTGTACGTTTCAAGAGTTTCATTTCTTTGAACGTTCAAAACTCATGGTTAAAATTTTAAGTCAATAATTTGGAAATAAAAAACTTCTCCCCTAATTGAAACAATTTTTAGAGAAAATGCTTCCCATAAATTAGTATGAAACAGCCACCCTAGAATTTAACAGAAACTTTTTTTAACAGATCTAACAAATGAGGAAAATTGAAATCTATTTTACTAGTTGATGAAAAAGTGAACTTCAAAACATACTCCGATAAAATTTCAAGAAAGGCAGCTAAATCTTGCTTGATGATCTATCAACTCAAATAATGTTTAGGAAAGAAAAATGTATATCCAACCAATATATCAATCCAGTGTACTAATCTATGAAACAGTTAATACGAAGGATACAAAAAATTAGAAAGCCAGCAAAGAATTCTGCGGAGTGATTGTTTTAAAATTAAAATTAAAAAGTGACAGAATTAAAGCATAATTGGGACAAACAAAAACTCTGTCTGGTTCAAGAGTTACATTCTTTGAACTTTCAAAATTCATGGTTAAATTTATAAGTCGACTATGTGGAAATAAAGAAACTTCTTCCTTTGGTAAAAATTACTCGAAAATTAAACCGATTCGAGGAATTCAGACTTTCATCCGGCGTGATTGACCAACCTTAGATTCATAATAAATTTTTACGCCAATGTAGTTTTATGTTTCCCTGAGGGACCTTGGTTACTCCTGTGGAAGTTAAACATTGTCGAAGCATGCAATCCGACATATGAAAAATGTGTAACAAAACAGTTGTTATCCTTTAATAGAATTATCGTAGTTGTTGTTCATAAACTGTGGTCAGATCTTTGTGCGATAATTTGCACGTCAATCGGGGTTTTTTTTAAAAAAATTTTCATACATCAACTCGATTCAAATTCCTATTAGAATCGAAACACTTTTAATTGAAACTCATGAATTACAAACGTTTCTGAATTGACATTGAGAACAAGAAATATTGAATGATAAATTAAAACAAGTGTTGCTTATGGATGGTAGCAGAAAAACTTAAAAAAATATATGAAGCACCAATTAATATTGATCTGCAATTTTTTGACAAAATAAAAGCGTAAATTATCACTTTTAAAATCTGATGACGTTCTTTCTTTTTTCCAGTATTTGTATTACTACCTTTTTGAGACGTTATATGAATCCTCAGTATAAATTTTAAGCGAAATCATATCCTGAAACTATCTTGTGAATTTGTTGTTTTTCCACGTAGATGGCACATCAAACTTGAAAATATACTTTAACAGAACGTACTCAAGCTACAATTCAATTGATTTCAATTGTTGGATTGAACTTTTTTTAGGTAAATTGGATTGCAAAAATACCAAGGAAATATAACCAATTGCATTGTAGAATTTATTCTGAGGTTCGAGTACCATTTTAATAAATCCCCAAGTCAAAGCGATTGCAATCTTTTTACAATATGTGTTAAGTATTTTTCCTTTTTTTAATTGAAAAGATATCCCAATCTAGAACCTTTTTCTGCTTATCTAACAACACGCGTGAAATTATTTTTCATCAGGCATAATCGTGACAGATATAGAACCATCATATACTTACAGTGTACTGAAAGATATTTGGAAGATTCCCACAAAAGCCGACCACATTAATTATTTCGCAGCTTCAACAATCCCGACTCTTCTTAAGACAAAAATTTATTGTCTGACGCCACACATCGCTTAAGAAAATAAACGTCCCAAACTGTCCAAAATTACCAAAAATAGTAAAAGTTTCACCAAAAATACGCAAATGGAATTGAATTTGGGAAAAGTTTATCTCTGAAAGGCTCGATCATTGTTTGTTGTTTTCTTTATCGCAACTCATTGTTGACTAAGCTGCCCATTTGAAGAAAAATAATATCACTTCAAAAGCAACAACGGGTAAGATAAATAACTGATTTTGTACACACTCTCAGCAAGTTTCTGCGTTGCAGCTACTAACTAGTTTAGTTGAAAAGTTTTTATATCGCGAAAAAAAAACTTTGGTTTATTTTTATGTATTGCAGTAAAACAAAATCAATCAATTAGCAGAGATTAAACAGACGGTAGTGAGTAAAATTGTTGTGTGCTTTATTAATAAACTTTGAAAAATTATAACTTTACATTGATTACTGTACCAATCGCTAAAACAACTAAAATAAAAACATCAAGTCAAAGCATCCAGATGAAAACAAAAATGATTTTCAGGATTAAAAAATAGAAAATTTTTCCTCAGTTTTGCGCCGTTGAGTGGGCATTGCATTTTCCGCCCTTTTGGTTATTCATTTCAGGGGCGGATTGTGGGGGGGGGGGGGGGGGGTTGAACGCCCCTTTCTCAGGGCTTCGACCCCTGCCGACCCAAAGGGTACCCCTTTACACTATTTTGAGATATCCATTTTTGGCAACGAACCCTAAATTTTTTAGAAGACGCCTTGAGCGCCATTATTTACAAATTTTGAGGGGGGAGTATGCGCCTAAAAAAAGCAATTCTTTGGTCAAATTTTCCAAAAAGTGATTAAAAATGCCTTTTTTGACCAATTTTTTCAAAACTTTGCCTGTGGCGCAGAAATTCAGGCCAAACAGGGACTTTTTAGTGGGGAGAGCTCAAAAAATCATTTTGGTCGACCTAAAAAAAGGTCGACAAACTGTTGAAAATCCGCCCCCTCGAGAAAATCCTAGATCCGACCCTGATTTATTTTACCCTTTTTGTGAGGCTTTTCATTACAAGACTACAGTTTGACCGATTCTAATTACAGGTGTACGAAAGTTTTTTAAAAAACTTTTTGTTCAAATTTTAAACGAACAGTTCAACAGCAATTACATTAACAGCAAAACTGCTCGTATCAGGGCCAAGTCCTGAATGTTACGACTGCCTTTTGAAATTTATGGAGCAGTAGTAGCAAAAAAAAAGAATATAAAAATTTTTTTTCGAATAAAATGAAAAATAAAATGATTTTTTTTATTTTGAAAATTTTTATGAAAATCATCCCCCCACATGCCATATAAAGTACAAAAGGATAGATTCCGCTCCTTGTTATAAACGGCAAATAATGCTTCTTTCAACCTATTTGAAACGTTTACTAAGACGGATTAAATCTCCGCTTACGCATTAATAGCGCGAAATATATCGCGCGTTAATTGTCCTTTATTGGCCAAAATGACAATCTTTAAACCCCTAAACATTACGAAAAACAATCACAGCTGAAAAATCCTTTCAAAATTAAATTCAGGACAACAATACCTTTTGAAGATTTTTAAAAAATTTTGTCGAAATTGGCTAGTCAAAAGTCGTCGAAATTTGTCTGAAGAAAAAATAACCCACCCGACCACAAATATTCCGTCACTTTCGTATCGGAAGGCGGAACAAAAATCTTTCGTGTGTCGTATTATTTATGAGCCAAATGTTTTGATCAAGCACAATATTCAACTCCATAAAACTCCTAATGATTCATACGGTTGCTATTGAAATATGATTCAGAAAAACAAAAGTTTCGAATAGAAGTTAATACAAATTTGGTTTTGACTTAAATTTATCAATTATCCAAGGTTAGACTTAAAACAAAGAAAAAAGGAGAATTGGAGTTTTATGGAGGTCATACAAATTTCATGTATGGAAGAAGGTTAGTCAGACAACTCCCTTTAAGGGCTTTGCTAGTCATAAAGGGTTTATGCAATTTTTGAGATAAATGAAATCTAAGGGCTGTAATTGAGAATTTTTTGACTAGCCAGATGAAAGAAAATAGACAAAAATGACCAGGGAAGAGGTCATTTTCAACCAAAATAACAACCAAGTTTCACTAAGAATGGGCTATTTAATTGCAGACATACTCAAAATTGTCTGTTGGCTCACGAAATTCAGATATGCAGTTGACCACCAACCTCTGACCTACTATGAACAAAATAACAAAATCCATTGAGCGAAAAATTGACGTTTTTTATCGTTGATATTCTTTTTCAAGTTTTCAATAAAGTTTACGATCAAATTGGCTTGAAAAATAATATTGAATGCTTTTTGTAATCTACAAACTCATTTTTTGTTTTTGATTAGCATTAAAGATTCATTTTTTTTTTAAATTTACTGTTATGATTTGTTTTTCAAGTTTCAACTTTGGAAAAAATTGATTGTGTCAAGAGATCTTATGAGAGCTTAAAGTTGTATGGTTGTAAGCCCGGGTTCAGTTGAAAATAAGTGATAAAAAGTGAAAAAATTAGCTATCACCATTGATATTTTTGGGACAATGGCAATAATTATCGATAGGTTATTGCTATTTTTGGTTATTTTTAGCGACGAAACAGCACTAACAAACCTATCAAAATGAGCGAAAACACTTAACTACTGGGGTTTGATTGCCTAACCATCTGCCTCTGCGCCACAAACCCTTAGATAGATATATTAAGGTTATAGGGTTTATCAACTCACACTCTCATTTAAAAGCTACTAGAATTTCTTATGCTTTAGCGCTGATTTTCAGCAGAATCATTACTGAAATAGCTCTGGCATATCGCAGGTTTAGTTATCCAAAAATTCGGAATATTAGCTTAATCAGCGCTGGAAGTTAGCTATCATTGGTATACTACAAAAAAAGCGATAATTAACGGTGGGACTTCATACCGGGAAACAATATTATTGAAAGCAAAACTGATCAATTCTCAAAATAATTTAAGATAATCTCGAACATAAGTGACACTAAATTTGAAAGTAAAAATCCAAAATTGGAAGTTTCCGTAAGCTTTTTTGCTTTTTTCTTCGGCTACAGCTTCCATTAAACCATAAATCAGGACTTGAAACTAATAAATCGATGAATGTAGATACCTAGCTTTCTTTTAACTTTTGGTTTTAGATTAATTTTACAAAAGCAAAAATAGATTTTTTTCTCAAAAAGGATTTTGAGTTCCGGTAAATTTATTTCCAACAAAAAGATTTGCCGGCAAAAAAGTAACAATAAGCAAAATTGAAATAAAACTTTTGCTATGTTTTCTATGAGTATCAGATGCGTAAAAATTATTTGTGCACCGCGACTTTGATTTCAAAAGTTCGTTACAACGCTTTTTCATCAATTAACCAAAGGAAAACAAGATTAGGTGGTCGCTGTGCAGGTAAAAGATCAAAATTTGATCATGCCCATTTTTGTAAAAAAAAAAACGAATCCGACGGTAAGGGCCTCAAAATCGTAAATCAGTTCATCTCGAATGATGTGTTGTTGACCTATCTGATTATGCTGGAAATAAAAACAAATAAATAATTAAAACTATCTGCTTTTGCCTGAAAAATTGACAAAAAAGTTTGCTATCATGAATTGAGAGCAAAAAAAAACAATTTTTAAGAATGTTCAATTGAAACCACCCATTTTCTTCCTCTTTTTTTAATTAATGTTGTATTTTGTATGGCAGAGTTCTGTATATGACTGCCTTTTAACTAGATAACATTTTCTTTAAGCACTTGGCCTGTATATCATCTTACAGCTCTGAGTTTTCTTTCAAGGGCCAAATTAACAGTTTTTTTTCTAATTTTTTGTTTTCGGAAATATATGAAACAGTTTAAGTCCTGGGTGAAAAACCTTCAGTATGATAAATCACGTTACTCTAATTAAATTTGTTTTGTTGTATCGGATTTTGCGTGGAAAACTAAGTTTATTCTGTAGCTATCGGATTTTGCCTTGAAATTTAAGTATATTTTCACTTCATGATTGGAGAACACTAAAGCCACTTAATATTTCTGAGAAAACTGTAAGGAAAAATCTGACTGTCGAATATTTGTAGTGTCGATGAAGAAAGCGATAAACGTGGCCTACGGGATGTTCCCGCGGGCAGCCGCGACAGAGGAGGAGAGGACTGGATTCGTGGACAAAGAACACTGCCACGATGCAGACACTGACGACTTCAGTAGCACAATGCCGCACTCTGATTGGTCCAAAAACGGAAGCATGGGTGGGGCTGGCGGAGGACTAGGTAACTAGTTGTTTTGAGTTGCAGCGATCATAGGAAATTAAAATGTTGAATGTATACAAAAAATAAGTTATAATTTAACGCCTGAGATTATAAGCAAAAATTAAAGTTTTCTGTAATATACTATTATTACTCGGGGGGTTTCCAGATTTTTTTTATAGACCAGTAGCAGGCCAAAGTTATTTATTTGGTCAAAACCTATTCATTTGGTCAAAATAGCATTTTTTAAATTTATTTGATCAAACAGCAATTTTTTTTCCAGAAAATTAGAAAATGTTATTTTAGCAGAAAAAAGTGATTATGGTTGCCCAAAAAGATCAAAATTAATTTTAAAACAAACCCTTCTTCAGAAACTCCTGGAGTGAGCATTCTATTACTGGATCTGGCTATTTCCAATTCTGGCTCAGATTGTGAAAAAAAGTAGATTTTTCAATAACTTCCAAACTTTCCTTCTTCCTTGATCCTTTTTTGCAGGCAAAGATGGTGGTGGCATGGTACGGGGAGAGGGTGAGGGAGACTTTGACTCCCCGGAGCAGGAGTGTCACGGGGAATTAGCAGAGAGTGAGAAGAAGAAGATCACAGAGTGGCAGGCAGGCTGGAATGTCACAAACGCCATACAGGTCAGCTAATGTGACGTAATCATCAGACTTTACTGTAATTGTTATGCAACAGTTACGCCCTATTATGAAACAGTAAAACATGAGATGTACTGCACTAGTTCACCAAAATTGGATCTGATCAAAGTCCAAGAGTTACACTCAAATTTGGAAGTCGGATATAAAACATTTTGAGGCGGAGGATTTTCAAACAGTTATCAAAAGTTTTGTCAATTTTTGATAATTTCCGATGACCTAAAAAACACTTTATTAAACCTATTTTTGACTGAGTTTTTGGAGCTGCAGGCAAAATTGTGAACAAACAGGTACAAAATGATGCGTTTCAGGAGCTTTTTGAAAAGTTTTGACCAAAAAAAAAACCCTGTTATCCTAATATTGTCAGTTTGTGCATATTGTCAACACAGCCGAATGCAGACAAATTTTAGTAGCATTTAGCCGAAAAATAGTTTCTTCATTCAAAGATTTGCACAATTAGAACTTTCGGCATTTTTTCACAATTGAATCTCGAAACTTTCGAATTTTGTTTTCAATTGGCTTCCTAAAATTTTTTCGAACAACACAATTTTGGAGGTTTAATTGAATAAACCTAAAACTTGGGGTGAGTTTTTTTGTTTACTGAACCGTGATTATCAAATGCTATCAAACATAACCGGCAAACTTAATTGTTTCTTGTCCAAAAATTTGGACAAGAAAAGTTTTGTTAATTTTGGTAATTTCATGGATAGTTTCATACATCTGAATGCTTCGTCTTGAGATAGTTTTCGGTGATGAAAGTTGAGAACGTTGACGTATTTTAGCAAGGAAGCCAAATGGAAACTGAGAGAAATTGAAAACAAGAGTTGTTGTTGAGTTTTCCAAAAAAGCTGCAAATACTAAATTGTTTGCAACAGTGGTAAAATTTCAAGAAAATTTTAAATTTTTTTTCTGATGTGAATATGCTACCTAGGGGCAGAAATACTTTGATATAAACTTTTTATGGGCTAGTAATTTCTTGTTTAAAAAAATCGACAAATCGAAAGCTTTTCTTCTAAGTCTGATTGATTAAAAAAAATGTAGCATCTTCTTCTCGAGCAAATGGAAAACCTGCGGACCTAATCAGCTAACTGCAAATGCATTATTGTTTCCGACCGTTTGAAAAATGAGAAAGAATTTTATAACCGAGTTTGTTGTAGTTTTATTGTTCCGACTTTCGATACGAAAGTAACGGAATATTTGTGCTCGGGGTGGGTTTTTTTTTCTTCAGACAAATTTCGACTTTTTCACTAGCCATTTTTGACGGAATTTTTTTATAGCATTCGAAAGGTATTGTTGTCCTGAGCTCAAATTTGAAAAGATATTTCACCTGTGATCGTTTTTTGTAAAGTTATGGGGGTTTAAAGATTGCCATTTCGGCCAATTTGGGACAATTAACGCGCGATATATTCCGCGCTATTAACGCGTAATCGGAGAGTTAATCCGTCTTAGAAATCGTTCCAAATTGGTTTAACGAAGCTTATTCGCCATAATTGATTTGTTACAAGTAGCGAAATCTATCCTTTTGTACTTTTTATGGCGTGTGGGGGGATGATTTTTATAAAAAAAAACTTCAAATTTTTGAAAAAAAAATTTCATTTTGTTTTTTATTACTTTTAATTTTTTAATGATATTACTGCTCCATAAACCTTATGCCTGGTATGAGCAGTCTTTTTTCTTTTTGTTTTCCACGCAAAATCAGAGACCACAAAAAATCATCGCAATGGGTCGAGTGGTATATCAAATTAAAGCCGTTTCAGTTATGATTCGAACGACATTAAACTGAACAACGAGAAAAGCTAGCTTGAAATTTTTAATTTTTGGTCTTATTTCAAGCTAATAAAATGCCTTAGCGCCATCATGGGAATCAAAAGTTTTAAAAGTTCAAAGAATTTCAGCAAAAAAAAATTAAAATTGTTTAAAAACTTTTATAAACTTTTGTAACGATTTTGTTTCGTTATTCTAGCCATTTTTTTACAAAAACTTATTATGTTTCTTATTAGCCAATTAGCTTATTTGACTATGACTGTCGATTATGCCTAATTTCTGTTTTTTTGTTCACATCTTTTTTATCACACCACACAGAAAGAACGACAGTAAATTTGAACAAAAAATCGTATATTTTGTACGACTGTGCTCGTAGCATTCTGCGCTATTGCACAGCAAACGCTATCCTTGTTCAAGTTTTGAAAACTGAGTTTTGTACAATCTTTAAAAGTTGTTCTTCAAAAAAATTGATTCAAAAAAGAATGGAAGTTAGATAGTTGTTGCCATGAGCCTCACAGTTTTTAAGTTATTGCTCTGGATTATTAACTAGGAAAACATAAAACAAAAAATCATCAATTCTGCAATTGAGATAATTCTTAACTACTTTGGTCGATTGATCTGATAATGTCTGACAAATGGGTTCACTGAAGGCCACCGCAATCGGTTACTAATTTGTTTCGACCACTCTAAATGAATTTCAAGGAACTATGGCCTATGGTGCTGTTACCGAGATTTCACATACATCAAAAAAAGTTCTCATCTGTTGGAATTAAATATCACTCTGAAACTTTTTGAATCATCTATTGATATTTGAAAATATTTTTTAGAAAAATATCAGAATGGCTTAAAACTCTTTTTGCTTCTGAGTATAGTTTACGAAAAGAGTAAAAACGTATTGGAAATAGATTTTACAGAAAAGAAACTGAAAGTTCCTCTTGCTCCAATTATTACTAACATTGTGGCTGGAACATTCTTCTCTTCTTGCAGAGTAAATAGCCACTCAAGCGTAAATCCTGTTTTCCGTTGAATATCTGTTTTCCATATGTATTTTTTGCTTTATATGTGTACTTTACAACTTAAAAATAGCTCATAATTGCGCATATTGATTTTAAGGTATTGGGCTAGTAACTAACTTCAGTTCATTTTGCTCTGGTTCAAAAGTTGTAAGAAGTTAAATACAATTACATAGAGGATGTGCTGACTCCAATCATGGCGCTATTTTGTAGAGGCGGATATAGTTTTTTTGTTTGATTTTTGCATTCGATTGAGACAAGCGGAAGCCAATCGGTCAAGATTTTTAAGCGCCAGAGTTATTTTTTCAAGGTCACATAGTATCAATTCTTTACCCGGAAAGTTTTTTCACGTGTTTTTCAAGTGCTTTTTGACGTCACTTGAGGATTGAAACGGTGAACACTGAAGTTCACCTAGCAAAGAATGAAGTTTTAAATATTCCCCGAACGTCTAGCAAATCAACTAACTTTTTTGTTCCCAATTTTTTCCATTCAATGAATGTTTGTTTTAGTCTTTCGATCTATTTATATCTGAACAAAACAGCAACGTCTTTTCAAACAACAAAATCAAAGTAGGTGAATAAAAAAGAATCATCAAAATTGCCTCAAGTTATAAAACTCGAACAATAAAGTAATAAATTTTATAACTAAGCCCATAACCCGCATATCAACCTCACTTCTTATCTGCGCAAATCAACAGGCGAGATCGTCACCTCTTAAAAAGATGAAAAACTGACAAAATCAGAGAATAAGACGGAAAAACAGCAAAAAGAAGAAAACAGATTTCAAAAAAGAGGCAATAACTACACGCTTGGCTCCCCCAATTGATTAAACAGATTTCTTCAGGCAGTTTTGGGGGAATATGCAAAAAATTCAAAGAGGGATTTCGAAATACATGTCACAGAATGATGCTAATTAACGGCAGCTCGAGTTTTGCTGGTAGTATAAAATGACACTTGTGTTTCTATATTTGTTATATGTGTGGGGTATTTGAATTGGGTTAGTGTATGACTAAAGGGCAAAATTCATTTGTAGGATTAGAATGTGACAAGCGAAGGATACTTTTGCCATAAAATACCAACCAAAATTAAATGTATTTTTTAGAAGGAAATCACAGCTGTGGTTATAAAATTAATCAAGTTTTGAGGTTTTTTGAAGTTATTTTTTGTTTTGCTTCAGAAATATTAGATTTTTTCCATCGCTGCTATCAGTATGTTTCCAGTCGTAAATAACAATTTTTATCCTTTGACATATTTTAACACAAATGTCAGTAGAAATTCCCAAAAAGGCTTTGCTTGTTTAGAATGTTTTCACAAACAACAGTTTTTTGCTCTTTAAACAATGTTTTGTTGTTTGATATTGGTCGCTCAGATATATGGCGTTGTCAGTTATAGGCTTTTTAAGTTCAGAATTGGGTTGATGAAAAAATTATAGTAAATTATCTAAAATTGGCAGTGAGATGTCAAAATGAGGAACTTTATCCTCGGCGTTTTAAAACAAAACTAAACAAGACTTTTCGTACGCCAGGGCAAGGCCCTGAATGTTCCGACTGTAACGTAACCAATATCGAATAATTGTTGGTACACAAAATAAAACTACAAAATAGTTAGACAGTATAAAGCATCAAGTGTAAAAAAATGAGTAAGGCCGAATTTATACGACCGATTAGTTTGCCTCAACTCATTTTGGAAACATTCGTGTTGCAAGATAATTTGCCACGCATAAATAATTTGCGTTACCCCTCAGTATCACAAACAAAACTTTCCCAGCGCGCATGATTTAGTCTATTCAAACTCCCAAAAACTTATACAAAAATTGATTGACAGTCAAATGTCGATTTCAAAATAAAATCAAGTATTCGATATCCTTAATTGGGTACTTTTTTACTAATAAGCTTCCATTTCGATTTCCAAAATTTGACTGAATAAAAAAACTTAAGGGTTAAAGCTTAACTCAAATTTAAAAAAATCCTCTTTTTACTTATCAAATCAGGGCGTAATTTTGAAATAATTTGTCCAAAACCGGAATACACTGAGATATTTTTCGAATTGACTAAAAAATGCTCAATTTTTAGGCAAAGTCGCTGCTGCGGCAACTAAGCCGACAAAAAAACGCACACAAACAGAAGACCGACAAGGATTTTTTGACGAGCGGACAACTTTCCGCTCACAAAAAACTAAGTCCTAGCCTAAGAATCTAACCTTTTGATCTTTG